GGGGGGGGGTGGTGGGGGGGTGGGGGGGGGATGATGACGACATTGGTACACAGACACCCCGAACAATATCTCCACAAGAGCCGTTTTACTCGGTATTTACAGTACTTTCGTGATGGCGGACCCTCTTATATGATGATGGTTAATGATGGTGATGAGGATGATGACGGATGATGATGATCGATGATGGTGGTGGATTGAGGCGCCAGGTGATTGGTAGGAGGGGGGGTGGCTATTACTACTACCACTACCACTACCACCTGCCACCTGCCACCTACTACCTACTACCTACTACCACCTACTACGACGACTACTACTACTACTACCACTACCACCTACCACCTACCACCTACCACCTACCACCTACCACCTACCACCTACCACCTACCACCTACCACCTACCTACTGCTACTGCTACTGCTACTGCTACTGCTACTGCTACTGCTACTGCTACTGCTACTGCTACTGCTACTGCTGCTGCTACTGCTTCTGCTCACGACGACGACGACGGCTACTACTACTACTCCTCCTCTGCTGCTGCTGTTACTATTACTACTTCACTACTACTGCTAGTCGTATTCGTATTAGCAGCAGCAGTATGTAAGTTGGACTTGTATTTCGCAGGACCTGGATAAGTTCGTGCCTGAGATGGTTTGCTCGTGGCGTGTGGGGTGCATGTCGGTGCCGAGCCGTAGGTGTACTTTTTATTCTAAAGCCTCACGGGTCAGAGTTCTTTAACGTCGTGCCGGCCACAGTTCGAGATAGCCCCAGGTGAGTGAGCTTCAGACCCTGCTATAAACTTGAGAGCCTCAATCGTGCCTGCGAAAGCTTCTGCAAGTCTGAGGCTTAGGGCTCGCGTGCTGCGAAAGTTCTGCGTGGCACAGGCCAGTCTTGGGTTTCAGGTTTCCGACTGCAAGGCCTGTTTGGTCTGCATCCCGATATGACATACCTAACCACCGCTTGCCGAGCGTTTTCATTGAATGCGGCGATCGGCAGTACATGCAGAAGCCTCCGAAGGCTTTGTCGAGCTCACATGTTCCCACCCACGTCCGAGTCCATGGGCGAATGCATCATGCCTCAAGTCTCAACGTATGCTTGCACACTAAAGCAGAAGGAGAGGTTGTGTGACATGCTAGTTGCGAAGCTCATGTACGAAAGCCCAATCTCAACCTTCGAACCGGCAGTCTCTTCCAACATACTCCGTGTCCTTTTTGAAACCCGAGCCCTGAGCTTTCTGCACGAACCTAGGCGGAATGCTGATGTTTTGAACCCCGCAAGTTGCCATGATCTGTTCCTTCCAGGTTCCCGAGTCCTGTTTCGGCGTGGCAGCTTGGCAGGGTTAGCGTAATCACCCAAGCCTCCAGAGAAGTGGAGTGCCCGAAATAGCAACCCGTAGAAGCTCCAACTCCTCTAAGGGACTGCCAAGCCATCCGGTTGCAAGTCCGAGGTGCTGGCGCTGGATGTCCTGTCGGCGCCCCGCAAGGGAATCGGGGAGCGAGGTGTAAGTTTCCCTTAAAGTTCTTCGAGCGGCGGCTTCAGAGGCATCCGCCACGTAATGGAGCCGAGACGGAACAGCAGGGCGTGTCTGAGTTAGCATCACGTGCTAAAGATGCACGCAAAGCCGCTGGAGTGGAAGGCAATTGCTTCGTTGCGAGGTTCGGAGGACATGTTGCGAGGGCACACCCCAGTCTTGTATGCTTCCTGCCAAATTCAGAGGCTTGCCCTGCCCTCTGCTGGGACTCGGCTTAGGATCGCCCATGCTTTCGATCTGCCCAGCCGCCTCTACTCGCCCACGCAGGTCCCGCGGGGGGTGGAGGATTCGGCATTCTGGACGGTCTTTGTACATGGGGCTTCGAGGAGGGTAGAATACATTGCTTGCTTTTGAAGGAAGTGCGAATCTTGGTGGCCGTGTGAAAGAATTAGCATAAGCAGTTGCTCAACTGAGCAACGCTAGAGACTTCGGAGGGGGCCTGAGGCTATTGCCCTGAGCCCGCTCAGCCGCGAGCCATGACATCTTCGATCCCGCTAAAAAGGAAAGCCTTCAATATCCCTCAGCCCTGAAGCCGTCGAAGAGGTGGAGGCACAGGTTCTGTTCATCGTCGCCGGAGGCCTCGCCACGGTGGAAGCCTTGGTCATACAGTTGAGACTCCTGTCGCACCGCTAAAGAAGAAGCTAGTCTGTGAAAAGACGGGAGTAACCATCGACTCGTTATTCTGACAATGACGACTGGTCTCATAAGCAAATCCAATACAGAGAGTAGCACTACGTCCTGCTATGTGTTTCGGCCCTTGTCTACTTGGCCTGGAACCTCAGGAAGTTAGGAGCCTCAACGGTTTCAGGTTGCGGTTGCCTGTCTCGTCTTGTTCACTCGTGGTGAGAAGTAGACGCCGGCTTAGAGCACAGCTGCGCATCATACACGGCTTAATCAGCACGGAGTCGGCACGGGAACAACCCACCTTGTGGCACAGCACTGCCAGGTAAGCAGACAGACGCGATTCCAAATCACTTCCTACAATTTCCTACATAGAATTCCAGGTGTGATCTTGAGCTTGCCTGATGAAGTCACCCAAACCCACAAGCCGACCTGCCCAGTTTACCCTGGCCCTGGGATTTGCGGACATCATCATCTCCATGTGGATCAAGACTGACTTCGTGCAGGCCGCCATGTGCATGCGAGTTTTTGACGACTGCGCGAATCGGATTCGGCGATTGTGTCCTTTTCGGCTTTTCGGTAGCTCAAACCTGTTCTGCGCGGGAGGACAATGCGAATCTGGTGTTGTTCTTTTACCTGGTCGAGATCTGCAGCTGGCAAGTGCCCCACAGTCCGCCGGAAGGCGTACAAATTTAGTGATCTTTCAACCTTCGTGCCAAGGTGGCCATTCTTAGCACAGATGGTTCGATATGACCGCCTCCCAACAATGGCCTGAGCCTCGAGACATCAGTACCACTCTGTGCGAGAGATCCGGAACTCGGCAAGACTCAGGTCAGGTACCTTTGCAGCGAAGTGACGGTCATGATTCTCCTGGTTGTGTAAGGGCCTTGGCTCGGTAGACTCCGTCCTCTTCAGGATTTTCGTTTCCGGGTTTCAGGTTTGCTGGGATCGGGATCTAAAAGTTCAGTCCTTGCAGAAGCTTCTTGGTGCTGACATCACTGACATCCAGGACTTTAAGCTCAGATCTCAAAACGAAACACCGAAGCCCCTTTCAGGCACAACGCACGACGAATTAGAAGTGATGCTCTGCAGGGTGGGCTTCTATGCGATACCCGGCAGCGCCAAGCGGGAGCCCCGATTTGCTTCCTCAGCATCCTTCTGATGGTCGTGGCCCGCACTTCAGTCTCGACTTGGCGTTGCCGTGGCATGTTACAGCCTCTCTGTCTGCTTTCGGCCGGCGTGCCTTGGAACTACCAGTAGCAGTTTGGCAAGTGCACCCCTCGGGGAGAAATGCCTTCACCGTACCACGGGCTCAAGAAGGGTCTTCAGTTTACGGTTCTCAGGCTCCGAAAAGAAATCGATCCCCAAACCCCCACAAAGCCAGACTCCCCCAAAAAACAGCCATTTAAGCAAAGCCGGAAAAAGTGCCTGCCCTTCTCAAGGTTGCGCGGCTCGGTCGTAAGCATCATCCTCCACTTCATCGGCCAGGCCCGGGGTAGCGACGGTGTCTTTAAGTAAGGAGCTTTGGAAGCCCTAAACTCCCGAAAAGCCCAAAACCGCTATGAGACACTACGAGACACTAAAGCCCCATGGGCGAGGTAGCCTTGGCTGCCACGCTCAGCCCTTTCCTGGCCACCCGCTGAGCTTGGGACATCGTTGGGACGGGGGATGGGGGTTACGGTTTTGGGGGCTTGTTGAGGCTTTAGGAGTTCAGGGTTTAGGTTTTAGTGGTCTACGGCGTCTAGTGTTTAGGGTTTACAGGTTTTAGGATTTTAGGGTTTAAAGGATTTAAAAGTCCAGGTGTTTTGGAATTTTAGGGTTTCGTGGCGAAAGCCATCAGAGGCTCTCGTGATCCACGTCTTAAGGGCAGGGTTCCTGTGGTCGAGGTATCTGAACTTCAGAAACCCTGCTGCGCCGTTTGATTTTGCATTCGGACTTTCGTGCTTGTCTAGTAACTAGTACCTAGTAGGATGCTAAGATTTCCGCAGTCTTGGCTCCAGGTTTCAAAAACGCATAGATCGCGGCAGAGTGTGATCTTTTGGGGGGAGTGAGCCCAGACAGCCCTGGCATCACATCCTTGAATACAGCAGATATACCATGCAACACACGTTTTTGTAGCAGCAGTGGCTTCGATATTGGTGTACACATAACAGCCACGACCGAGGCGGGAGCAAACTTCTTGTTCTTTGACAACTCACTCACTTTCCGCTTCCTGAACCGACTGCATTTTGGCCGCAGAGAAGAGCCGTGCCGGAATGCATGCTCGTCATGGCATGGAAGCATCAGGGGAGCTAAAGTGGTTCCCTCTCAGGTACTACCCTGTTCGATACGTGCACATCGCGATCTTCGGCGGCCTTCGGAGTGTATCATGTAACCGGAGATAGGGATGTTGCTTCGGGTCAGGGCCCGATTGGATAAGCTGAACGAGACAATCGGCTCCGGCAGTCTGCAAGAATCGGGGGCAAGCAGAACTGCAATGTGAATGAAGGGATGCTCCTTCAGTCCCCGTCGGGTCGCTTTGAGAGGTGCGAATTTGTGATCAGAACCTTCAATCCGTCTTGGAATTCCTCCCTGAAAGCACATGACAGTCTAAGACGTCGTGGACTGGTTCAAGGCAGGAGAGCGGTAAGGGGACCACACAGGCCTACAACAGAACCCTTTGGCGAGAAAATCAACCGCTGCGGCAAAAGACCGGAAGTCTCTGGAGAAGGGTCTGCGATTCTAATTGTCCTTTTGACAGTCTGCTGTATTCTTTCCTACTTTGCTTTCCAAGGATGTACTTGGACCACCACAAAGAGCACAGCGCTTGCCCGGCTGATCTTGTGATTGTTCGTTTTCTCCGCCACTTTACTATTTGGGTACAGCAGGGTGCCGCACATAGGAAACGTCGGCGAACTGGAGAGAAGGCAGGTCAGCTTGGTAGCATTGAGTCTTTCTGAACATCCCTGTGATTGCATTCATGGTGTGCTCGCCATTGACGAAACAGCACGGTGCCATGCGATACTTCTAGGAAGTATTATGGCACTGCCCATATACGTCTCCAAACTCTGCATGCCGCCAGTTCTTCGATGCTTTGCTGTATCATCCGCTGAACGCCTTCGCCTGCGTGAACCTGCTCCTTGACACAAATGGGGTCAGGGTATTGCCTCTCGGGTTTGGGGTCAGCAAGCTGTTTGAGGAACTAAGATTGGACGGGACTCAAGCTCGCAGCCGAGGCTCATTCAGCTCGTGCTGGTGCTGCACTCAGCAGAGGGCTGAACAGATGGAACGAGTTCTCAGGTCTGCTGCTCCGCACTCCCCACTGTCCCAGTCGATTCACTGCCAGAGGACCAAAATGGAATAGCAAGCACCTGAAGTATTTACGTGTCAATTTTTTGTGTGTCCCAGGTCTACCTCGTGGTGCCGTGGGTGCGGCGCTCCAGCCAAAAGCAGAAAGCAGAGGACCATCGGTTCCAAGCGCCCAGCAGACTGCACCTGTCGGGTTGTAATGGACTGCGGTTGGAACAATCGAAAAAATCCAAAGTGCATCACGAACTGCATGAGTTCCGGATGCAGGAATGGCTTGAAGGCCAAGGCTCGCGTACCCCCTGCTAACGAGAAGATGTCTTACTTCTCGTGCCTGGCTCGAGTTGTAGAAGTGACATCTCCGTGTGGGGATGAAGGGCCGGGCCCCTGCTTCCAAAACCCTCTGTGAACACCCAAGGCAAGTGCCCCAAGGCCTGCAGAAGCACAGAATCCCAGAACAGTCCTGCAATCCCATGTTCTCCTCGTCCCCCCAAGAAAAGACCGAACCAATCACCAGCCAAAAGCAATGAATGGATGCCCACAAGCGCTGCCAAAGGAGTTTCAGCAGAAGACGGGCGGACTCAGCTTGGCGGAGGCAAAGGAGTTCTGAATAGTATGGCAACCAGGCGGCGGGCCAGTAGTGACGAATGGCAGCAGATTTCAGTATCACCATGGACCCCAAGCCTTATACAGCAAGCTGGAAAGCCAGCGCTCCATAGCAGTGCAGAATAGCTTCAGAGCCCTCGAGCGTGACATTCGCTTTGAAGTGCAAACATGGTGAATCAGCACTCCAGATCTTGCAACCGATAGGCAAACTGGCGCATAGGAGTCGGCAGCCACTGAGGCCACTGTCCTCAAACTGCAAACCATCACAACCAGCCGTGACTCAGAGCTGATCTTTATGGCTCCGGCGAGCTACTGGATTGGGAACCGCAGCAAATGCTGGGGGCAGCAACTGGGGCTTCGGCTCCCCATGTGTTTGGGACACAGGGTCTGGCAGGATCCCCCTCCTCAGACCGATCCCATGGACAGGTCACTGCTGTGGCAACGCGTGTGTCGATGGCGGTCGAGGAAAAGCAAGGCAGGAACGGTTGTAACCTAGCGGGTTCAGATGGATCTACTGCGGATGATGCATCGGGGTTTTGACCGCCGTAGAAATACGATGAACGGTTTGCCTCCATCTCTCTTATTGTCACTTCTTTGTCGCTCAGCCTGCGCATGTTCGCATGCTGTGTGTCGAAAAACACTTCCAGGCTTGCAATGAGGCCCCGGCCCCCTGGTCAGAGTTGTTGTGTTAGGGTCCCGTCCTGCAAGCTCTGAAAAGACTCAGCAGTAAATTAGGCCGTTTGGTTCGTTCGAACCCCTGCGGCATTAAGAGCTTGTTCACCTCCCAGCCGGCTTCACTGTCCAAGACCTGGCTCCTGGGAGAATCTCAGGATCCAGCAGCAAGATCCGCGCTCAATCCGGTCTCAGGTGGGGACTTCATGGTGTGCACTGCATTGGTCCCGAAGGCACCAAGGATCATACAACCATCCCCGGGAAAAGGCTTGAAGGCATCGCAGGGCCTGCTCTGATGTAGTCCATGGCTGTACAGTAGCCAGGGACATCCTGCTATGCCTTGGAGGTCCAGCATATTCCACGACATGCCAGACGACCTCGGTGAGGAGGGGCGATTCCTGGGACCGAACTACGGCAGAGTCTATATCTAGACACGGGCATGAGCTTCCATCATTGAGCAAGCGTTGATGTATGATGACTCCGAACTTGTGGTCCGGACACAAGCAGCGCCGAACCTTTACTGCAGACCTACTGGCCAAACTTGCCGCAAAAAAAGGCTGGAACAAAGAATCAGGGTTCAAGCCACCCCGCTCCGGCCACAGTGGATGCTTGGCAGGACAACTTTGTCGAAGTCCTGAATGCTGTTGGAGATACCTTCGAGGCCTAGGATTTGCCTCGGGTTTCGAGGTTTGGACATGGAGAGCCGGCACCAGACGACAAAGCTCGTTTCGAGACAGCGAGGCTATGCAAAGAGGTGAGGTTAAGGTTGGGCATCCCGTGCCACACCGACGGTGACGCCTTTGAGTAGCTCCGCCAGGCGCTGCTCTTGGCAAGTCAGGCTGACAGCCCGCATTCTTCCCAGAAGGGGCAGGCATGGATTTCGTTCAGCTGCTAGACAAGAGCTTGCACCCGCATGAACGAGCCGGACATGAGAATCGTGTTTCCCAAGACAAGATTTTTGCGGGTGCCTCCACAATCTGAGGCGGGTTCGCTGCGCTGTGCTGCGGGTTGCCATCCAGCCCCTCTCTGAGGCAAAGAGGGCACAGAGATATCTCATACTGGGAAATAGGGGGCTGGATACTCCACGCCCTAAACTACTTCAAGGATGTCTCGGCTTCGGGTTCAAAAGTTTGGAAATGTCTGGAAACTGGCGAGTGGGCGAAGTTGCAGCATTCGGAGAATTTGCTACGGAACTTCGGCTCGCGCCATGTCTTGCTGAATCCTAGGACATACCGTTCAACTGAAGAGTTCTGGAACGGTTCGTTGAGTAAGACCCGATAAAAGGATGGTAGCTTTAGGGATCGCTCTCTTCTTCTCCCGCAGGCTGGGCCCTCCAAGCTCCTGCAGCTGCTGCCACTCATCCTTCCCCAGTTGCTTTTGGCAGTGGCCTTGGTGGTCTCAGGCGTCTAGGAGTCTAGCCCTTTGCGCTTCGAGATGCAGTTTTTCGGTCAGTCGGTCGGGGTGCTTGAGAGATTGGTCTGCACCGAAGCTGCTGGATCAAGAGGCCGCTGGAACGCCATAGCAGATCGGGACATCGCACTAGCAACCCTTCCGCATCACGATGCTACCCAGCATGACCGGCCTCGTTGACGGAGCTGCTGGAGCTGTTGCAGGCGATGCTGCAGGCATGACTGGCACGCAAGCCATTGGCAACCAAGCCTCAGGTGAAAGCCAAGGTGATAAGCTTCGAAGTTCGTCATTAGCAGATTGTCGCCTGCTTTTTTCTCGCAGAGTCTTAGACTTAGAGGCTTACAGGTCTAGCCCAGAAGGTCTCAGGGTGTTTAGACAGCGTGCCTAGGTGCGGAGTCTTTGGCGGCCGTGGCCACGAGCCAGAGGGCCGGTGGTCTGATCCGAGAAGTTTGCCAGAGTGCCTCCTATGCCTCCTCCAGTATGACGGGTACTACGGGTACTCAGAGTCAGAGCCTGAACTCGGATCCTTTCAACGTGCGAGCAGAGGAGCTGGCCATGCAGGACTGCTCTCTTGGAGTGGAGGTCCGCAGGATGTGGTCGGAGCAGGAGCTCGTCCGGTCCTTCGGGGGCCGGATGTCTCCGGGCACGCCTGATGGCATGTTCGAGACATGGGACGGGCGGCTCACCTGTGTACAGGTCGTGCGTGTGCCACTCGTGAGGGAGGCTGACACCTCCGCAATGCAGCATACCCTGACTCAGACCATCCTTGCCAAGGTTGTCAAGTCGCAGACATGGCTGCGGTTTGCCCATGTTATGCCCCACGATTTCATCATCTACTGCTGGTTACCATATCGCATCCCGGACGAGGTGAGCCAGCACGTGGATGTGTTGATGTCAAATCTTCGCAAGCTGGATGCGCGCTTCTCCGTCAGACTCCGGCTTCCAGCGGAGCCAGATGCCATCTTCCCGGCGCTCCTCGCACGGATCCCCTTTGAGCCTCCCTTTTAATATCAAAGCATCTTCATCCCTTGTTTGGGTTTGTCCTGCCAGACTCAGGCTCTTCGCCAGCAACTACGAGGAGAGGCTGCGGCTGCGTAGCCGGAGCTTGTCAGAGACTTGGCCCTTCAAAGATCGGAGCTCAGAGCTCTCAGAGATTTTTACAGAATTCTTCTGTTTTTTGTTTCCCCCCCCCCCGACCTTCCATGCAGCACCCTAAAACCCTAAATCCCTGTGAGCAAGAAAGGAGACAGACGTGTCGACATTCCTGGAGGGCGACCACCAAAACGAAGACGATGATGACGTCTGCGAGTGGGACATCACTTGGAATTGGTCTGAGGACTCGGGGCCGCTGCTGATGCCTCTTTTGTCGTAGTCGATTCATACAGACTGTATGGATGTTCCCTCGAGCCCAAAATCTCCACAAGCTTCGAGAGTTTTTTGCCTTGCAAGAGCTTCGAACCAGGAGGGCGATCCCGAGCTGGGCGAGGACGAGCCTTTGGGCTCACCGGACAGCCAGCCCAGCGAGGGTCAGGAGGATCAGGTGCCTGAACCGCAAATCTCCAAGACGCAGTGGGTTCAAGTTTCGGAAGTTTAGTTAAGTTTAGGCTTTGGCTTTGTTGTGGATCCTCGGACTTTCTGGATCCCGAAGAACAGCCAAGGTCTATGCTGCAGAGCGGAAGGGCAGTTCTCCTCAAGACTCTCCTCTGGCAGAGCCAGAGGAAGTCGTCTTGGAGTGGACTTTGACATGGGACGACAACGGGTGAGCATCCGATCCCCGAGTGCACGACAGACACGGCAGACAATGCCGCTGTCGACACAAACAGCATCCTGCAGGCTGCATTGGCATGTACAGAGCTGCGAAGCGCAGCACGGCCGCGGCATCACCAAGTCTAGCGATGTGAGCCGGCGCCGCAGGACAAACGCAACATCTGCTAGTTGTGAACGGGCATCACGAAAGCCCTGCACTGTCCTGCGCCTTGAGCCGAAGCTGCACCGCTACATTACCAAGACCCCAACAGTCCTGAATCCCATCACCCCAAAGCGTTTGTCCTCGGAACCACGAAAGTCGCTGCACCACCGAGCCGAAGCCCATTTGTTGTAATCCTGAGAGCAGAGCAAAGAAGACGTAGCTCGGAAAGGCCTTGCGGTGGAAGACCGCGGATGACTTCGAGGCTCAGCCTTTGAGCCAGCGGGGAGACGGAAGAAGAGGGGTTGGGAGATTTGGGTGTCGGCATGCTCATCGCACGTGCCGCGGCAATTTTTCGTATCGAAAGCCTTGGGCAGGACTGCCCACTGAGCTGCTTCATCTTGGAGAAGGCAAGGGGTCCCCCATTCAGTGCGATGACAGCCTCGAGGACTCTGCACCAAGCCCCAACCTAGAGTACCACTGGCACACAGAATCCTTACGCATCGTCTCAGAGGCTGCAGAGAGACGAGCATAGCTGGCCATGAATGCTCAGAGACGTGCCAATGATGGGCCATGGAGTGACGAGGCCTTGGCCCTAAACGACACGGCCCTGGTCTCCATGGCACGGACCTGAAACTCTGGGGCTTCGATAGCCGAGTTGTTTTAGTTTTGATGCGGTTTCTGAATTCCTGCACTGTTTATAAAGCAGTGTTTTACCAAGCAGTTTCAAAAACAAATCCTTTTTTGAGGTCTACTGGCAACTCCTTGGCCTGGCCACCGACCAGTCGGACAAAGCTTCCGCGATGTGCCGCCGCGCAGGGAGTAGCATGTAGCAATGCAGTAGCCCTTGTAGTCACCTTGTTTTAGAGTAAGCAGCACTTAGTAGGCCTTTTCTGTAACCCTCAGAGCACCCTTCAGCACCGCTTACAAATACCCTGATAGTACCATCTTCGGGAGGAGTCTGCTAGGAAGTAGGGGCGTGAAGCGCTTTAGGGGGAGTTGGGGGGTTAATTGAGGCTCTAAGGCATGATGCGTTCGGAGTTTTGCACTGTGTGGCCTTGGGAGTAAGGGATGTGGGCGCTGGGGATGCAAGCGAGTGTGTCCGCAGCGTTTACCTGGCTTCATGAGATTCCCTGCAGGATCACCTAAAGCCTTCCGGCTAAGCTGCCCCCGAGCTTAGTTTGACCACGTACTTGAGGACTCTTTTGCTGGTCAGAAGTAGCTGGCTTGGGCAGGCTTGAAGATACAACACTGTCCACACTCTTGCTTTCACATCAGCATATAATGGATCCAGCGGTGAGTTCGACGGCGCTGGTCCCTCTTGGCTTGCAATCCAGGCGCAAAAAGCACTGCTTGTGTCACCGGCACGGTGTCGCAAAGTCAAGGCAGACACTGTCGACAAAAGCTAACTGTGCAGTCCTCTCGATACTGACCTCATCCGGCGCGGAGATTCTGGCCCCTCTCCAACTGAATGTCGGCTGGATTGAGGACTCCGACTTTCGTGTACCGTGTATTCGCACTTCTTCAGACTTCGGGTGCTCGAATTGGAACAGACTCCGATTGACTGAGAGCCGCAGTCCTTTCGGAGGTCTTCTGGTGGGCGAAGCTTCTCTGCAGTTCCTTCGGGCACGAAGCAGGTGCGCTGGCATGCGTTGGCAGAGCTTCGTCCCAAACACTGCTGCAGCTTGTTAGGCTGCCTTCAACAGGCGCGGAGGTTTGCAGAGCCAGGCGGGAAAGCATCTGAGTACCGTAAGTTTTGTGGGAGTACAGGGCTTTGGGCATGAGTCCGTGTTTGCTCGTGTTTTGCTGCGGTGCAAGGCTTTCTCGAGCCTGGAACTGCCCTGTGCCATATCTCGCGGCCTTAGTTCATCCGGGAAGACCTCCAACAACACGTAGGCCCAGCCAGGCCCAGCCACTAAGGGAATCTGCACGAATGCCTGCTCCATTTTGGGGGTGCCCTTGAGGGCCAACAACTTCAGACCTCAGACTCTCTGAGATCTTCAGAGGCTCCATGAGCCGTGTAGCTTTCAGGCGCTTGGGCACAATTGACGGCTGCAACCACGGCCATTGCAGCAGGTCTTGAGGAAAGCTTCCCGCAGAAACAGCGCAATGCCGCAGAAGTTAGACAACCCGTTGAAGCCAGGGATCCCACCGCGCCTGGGCCAGTGCGGGTGCCTTCCTGGGCGCTGGCTGCGCTCGTGCTTCCCGGCAGGGCACCTCGGTGAGGGGGGATGGTCCATGGATTGTGTCAAAGCCACTCTTGGCCACGAACACTTGTTGTTCTTGTTCGTGTTGTTCTTGTTCTTGTTCTTGTTGTTCCTTGTTCTTGGTGGTGGTGATGGTGGTGGTGGTGGTGGTGGTGGCGGTGGTGGTGGTGGGGGTGGGGGTGGTGGCGGTGGTGGCGGTGGTGGCGGTGGTGGCGGTGGTGGCGGTGGCGGCGGTGGCGGTGGTGGCGGCGGTGGCGGCGGTGGCGGTGGCGGTGGCGGTGGCGGTGGCGGTGGCGGTGGCGGTGGCGGTGGCGGTGGTGGCGGCGGTGGTGGCGGCGGTGGTGGTGGTGGTGGTGGTGGCGGTGGTGGTGGTGGTGGTTGCTCGGGGTGGTGGTGGTGGTGGTGGTGGTGGTGGTTGCTCGGGGTGTCGATTCGGATTGCTTATTTACAGTGTCCTTCTAAAGGTAACTGGAGTTTGCAGCCTACCGGTTGCGAGTTGACAGAGCATGCAATGGTCAACTGCTGTTAGACAACCCTTAGAAGAATCCCGTCCACTGTTGCAGGATTTAGGGCTTCAGGTCTCCGGCACAGGTTTATCGGTTTATCTCGACGCTGCAGACACAAGAGCTGCCCAGCTCAAGTTCTGAAACTAGGCAATCGCAACTTGGAGTCTTGGCTTCGAGCTTATTCTGTCAGAAGTGCAGAACCAGGGTTGGGGATCAGAGTCTGGTTGGCTCGGAGGGGTCATGACCCTCCTGTCCCGTCATCTTTCGCCAAGGTCTGGGCGCCGCAGCCTTCAGGCCAAGGACCAGGAGCCTCCGGACATTTACCTGGGTTCTTGTTAAGGGATTTTATGTTAATAAAGTTACCATAAGAAGAAGAAACCATATTATCTACTATAGGAGCCCAGCTACTCTGCATGCAAAAAGCCTGAAGCCCCAAAGTTCCTGTTAGAATTCGCAGGAGTTGGATGGGGATCCCACGGTGCCACAGGACATCTTGTGGTGAACCTGGTTTTGGGAGAGAGCTGGAGTCAAGGATTGCATCGAACTTGCAGCCCAAGTCTTTTCTCGGGTTGAGGCCTAAGTGTGTCAAACCTTGAGGGTTGAACCCCCTCTACTACTATTGAAGACGTAACCCACGAGCCTCACCGCGAGCGTCTCCAGTCGCAGGACGGCCCGGCGACATCAGAAACCTTGGAGGCCGCGACCTGTAGCAGAAGCTCTTATGTTTACTAAAGGTCGCTAAGAACATCGAAAGAGACGTGACAAACACAATCCAAGACTCAAAGCTGTGTTCTTCTCAACTTCCGTAAATTACGGAAGCAATCGAGCCCCCAAACATGGCACCGCGACGCCTCCACCTCCACCTCCTCTTCCTCCTCTTCCTCCTGCTCCTGCTGCTGCTGCTGCTCCTGCTGCTGCTGCTGCGGCTACTGCCGCGGCTGCTGCCACTGCAGCTAATGCTGAGCATAGCTCCATTGTCAGTAGTCGCTCCGTCTCAGTGGGTTGTGGCCTCACACCGAACTGCACACTCCAGGCTCCGCAAAAGCAGCGTGGAACGTTTCGGAGCCGGACCAAAAGTAACAGTCCATAGCCCAAAGTCGAAAGCCTGCAAGCGAACCGCAAATCCTTGGCCTTTGCAGGATGCCGAGGTTCCCTTCGCCGAAGCAAACCCGATGGCGGCTGCGGAGGCTTCCAAAACACATTGCATGCAGGAGACTTCGACCATGAGAGATCAATCATGTAACTTGAGTGGTTCGGTCGTATCTTGAAGAGCTTGTGCGTCCACTTCAACCTGTGAATAGGCTAGATGAGATGCTCAGAGCCTGAAGTGGACGTTCACATGTCGCTGCTCCGTAGCATTTCGTATTATCCACGCTCCACGGAAGACAGTAGGGAGCTTAAGGAGTGGACTGTCGACAAGAAGTTTTGCCGTCGTCGGGAGACTTGTCACAGCGATACCACCTGCGTTTCAGGAATTCGCTCCGAGTGAAGAGCTCTCAGAGACGGAGGCCTGAAGCCTAGCCCTGCGGTGCCGAGCTATCTGACCATTGCGATGTCCGGAAGAGTTTCTTTAGTTTGTGTAGCGAGGAGGACATGTAGACTCGGAGTGGGGGCTTTGAAGCCGCCCCAGCAAATCTCAGACCAATCAAGACCAAGGCCTTTCTTGTCGAAGAGCTCGGCCTCACGCAGAAACAGATGCGGAAGGTGAATTGTCGTGCATCGCTTACGCCATCACTCAGCGTCTCGGATCTGAACCATCGAAAGCACAGTCTGACGTCAAGCTGGCAGATCCGCACCTTCTGGTCCTACAGCGGCGACAGGCTGCCACCACTGACACGGCGCGGTTCCTGGTGTGGCATGGTGATCCAGAGGGCGAGATTTCCAAGTTGGTTGAGAACGACATGGGCCAAGTCCCAGCCGTTCCCTCCCGTACCAAGATTCCGTACGCACACGCCATGAACCCTCAGACATCTTCTTTGTTTGTGGATGAACCCTGGGACGATGCAATCAGTTCAGGCTCATGTCGAAGTGGCTTTTAAGTGTGGGCTCTGCTGCTCAAGCGTTTGAAACATTCGGTACTGAGGTGTCAGATGATTGCAGACTATCTGCAGCATGATGTGGGCCTCAACCAGGATCAGCTGTGCAGGCGGGGTCTAAGACCTTCAGCAGATAGTCTGATACCAAAGCAAAATCGCAAGATGATATCCCAATAGTATCTAGCGGAGTGTTTGGGAATGGCAGGGATGCCATGTGTGTTTGGAACATGGATTTCGGGTGCATTTGCCATATTCCCAGAGCTGTCGCAGCTTTTCCATCGAATCGCGCGTGTCACACTTGTGATTTGCTACTTGTGTTGTGACTTGTGGCGCGTGATGTTCAATGGGGTAGCGACTTTCGACGGCGTGCAGCGACTTAGGGCCACCACCAAGTAGGTAGGTCTATGACTTCAGGGGCTGCTATGCCTGAGGAGTACATGCATGGATCCATAGATACATCTAGCAAAAGTTCTGCTTCCAGCGTGTCTTCAGTACCTCTGCGCACAGCTGGTTAGCGCTTCTTGCTACTGGCAGGACGATTGCTGACTGCCCGGAGGCGCTCGAGGTGTTCTCTGTGGAGACTCTGAAGGAGAAGGAACGACTGACTGCTTGCAGCATTCAAGCAGTTGATTGCGAGGAGAACGGTGCATAAATAGGTAAGCCGTCAAAGATGAGAGACCATGCGCGAAGATTAGAACTGTGGTTTGGGTTTCACAGCATCGCATTTCAAGCTATGGCGAGTTGACAGCCGAGATTGTTAATCCCACTGCCTGAGTATCCTTCCTGCGCTTGCCTTTGCTGCTGCTCCAGATGATACTGTTAACATCAGTTCTACCAGAGCAATGATGCCTGGGCAACACACCAGGGCAAGAAGCCAGCATGCCAGAACCCCATCTTGAAACTGCCTTCTGACACAGGTGCGCTTTCTTGAAGTCGAGGTGGGAGTGGAAGAACCGGACCTTCCAGAAGTTGTAGCGGCCTATCCTCAGGCAGGGCCCCAACAATATTCCGAGAGTCCTCAAGGAAGCAGCCCATCAAAATTTTGGAGCTATTCTGAGCAGGTCCTCTCCAGGCCGATCTTGACCACCCTCAGGCCTGCCTTGGAGCCTGCACCTCAGAGACCTGAGCCCTAGGGGCCCCTGAAGGCCTGGGGAGCTGAGCGATCGAGGGCTTGGCAACGGTCCGTCAAAGTGGGGTTTCCTGAGACGGACAGGGAGGGCTAGGGGCTAGCATGACAGAGTTTCAAGCTGACACAACAGCACTTGCAGCCTATACAGCGACGGATTCATCGAGCCAGCACGTGGCTGGATCACATCCGATCAGCCATGGGTAAGTGATCCTCAAGGCAGTTGATGTCTTGCTTCTGCTGGTCTGGACAGTACAGTGTTACTTGTAAGATGAGGCGTTGGATGTTGAGGCTCATGTATGTTCATATGTCAGTGAGAGCATTTGCCCATGAAGAGTCTGCAACGGGGGTGTGGCCGCTGGGCGAGTCGGGTCTTACGATGAACTCTCTGAAGCCGAGCTCCTCAGATTTTGGATGGGCCCGGCAAACGTGGATCCCGAGGCCTGCTCTCGGATTTGGACTCTTAGCAAATTTGGTATCATCTGCTACTATTGAGCAAATTTGCCACGCCGCTGCTGCTATTTTTCTGTCTGTAATTATGATTGGGCCGATGGGCTGGCAGCCTCTACAGTAGGACACGGCATTCCATGATTGGGTTGGCAGCGTCTCGTCGTCCAAAGGTGTGGAAACCCGTCATCTTTAAGCCGGGCTTGAGCACTGAAAACTGCACACCACTGCAAGCATTCCTCAGATGCGACATCACAACAAGACTGCCCAAGCTTTGGATTCTTCACTGAAGACAAGAGACAGTGGCCACATTCAGGTCATCTAGAGTGTTTAATCGCCATCCTTGGCTGATGCAAACGCCACAATCTAGCGCCGTGCTTGCGGCATCCACAGGAGCTGCCGGCGCTGCTCAAGAGGCATGCCATGCAGATGTGGATGAGGCCCACGAGTGCCAAAGCAATGCTCTTGGGAGGAGTGTTCCGTGATTTCGTGCAGAAGCTCTAGCTTCAGTGTGACAGCAGTCCTAAGACCAATACATCTGCAGGTTCAGCACGGATTCGCATCCTCAGCACGCAGAACGAAACCTGGGCCCCGAAACCGCACTTGACACTCTGCATGAGGAATTCTTCCGAATTCGGGTCCCACTCAGTTGAAGACAGGTGCTGCCTGCTCTCGCGCCGGCGCCACGCCCAAAAGCCCTAAACGAGCCGAATCAGGAGCTTTCAGAAGGGAGCGAATTGGTAACACTTCCAAAGTGGGGGCTTTCAAACTCTTAGGGGTCCCTCTTCAGGGCTTCGCGTCCCTAGCTCCCCAGCGTCTCAACGAACGGACGTGCAGGCCAGAGGCTCTGAAGTTGAAGCTGCGCTTCGCGAAGGAGGTGTTTAGGGGGCCACAGACTATGGGAGTTTAGGGTACCTTACTTGGGGTGTCCTGATGATAAGATACCGCTTTCGATTCCAGGATCTGGGGCATCTTGGCATGTTTGAGAAGATGAAGAGAGTTCATCGCTTCTGAGGTTCGGCATTGGAGAAATAAGGGTCGCAGCTCTCAGACCCCAGGAGGCAAAGTTTCGGAGTGGCACGCGTCCAACAGTACTTGGTCACTGGCCCTCTGCTACAATGCCTGTGTTCTCTAGATAAATCCAATGCGCCAGCTCCAGGGTTTGACATGAAACTCTGAACTAGACTCGGCCTATGATGTCTCGTAAACTTGAAAACAAAGGAGCATATGCCTTGACCAGGTTATGGGCCTGTCCTTGGCGAAGGCAATCTGCTGTCCTGCTTTGATTGTGTTGGGTTTCGGACGTGCTCGAAGAGAGAGCCGGTACCACAGGAGAAGGAGTCCCATGTTAGTCGGAGCAGGTGCTGGCATGCTCAACGCCCTTCTTCCGCCTCTCCATGGAGAAGCCCCGCGCTCGAATTCTTGAGCTTTGAGCTGCGGAGTGCAGTGTGATGAACTCTTGCTGTTACTCCGACTTGGACGTAGAAGAGCTCTCAACAAAGCCGAGGACTGTGGCTCCAAGGCACTTCTTCAGCATCCAGCGGAAGGTCTCCGGCCCGACCCCAAGAAGCTTCTCTCCGGCGAGGTTGCAAAGCACAGCCACTAGAAATGCACTGCCGAAGCCTTCGGATCAAAGCTTGAGCCACCTTCCCTTCCGCAGCGTCTCTCAAGCTTGAACTCGTCTCAAGTTTGGGGCGTGACAGATGCTGGGAATCGCTCCTCGGCAGCAAAACTGGGAACTCTGAGAGTTCCGGGGCAGGAGCGTTTTTCTGGACGCACCCGAGACCTCCCCCCTTAAGCCTGAAATAGGTGCGCATTGCTCCAAAAAGCCCCCGAAACGAGGACCGAGTCGTGGCCTACTGGCCCATGACCTCCTGGCCGGTGACCTTCGTGGCCTGCTCGGGCCCTGTGAGAGACTGCTTTCGGGCTCGGGTTTAGCTCTCTTGACGTCCGGGTTTATCCTGGTTGAGGGTTTTCCAGGGTTAGGATGTGGTTTGCTGGTCCACGTGCCCGGGAGCAGGAGACCTGAACCCCCAACTAGGCACAATTACTTCAGGCCGAAGGTCGCGTAAGGCAAGGTATTACAAATTCCCGAAGCCGAGGTTCTGGAGGATTTGTGAACATCCTGAAGCTTGGCGGCACGCCAGCGGGTTGATGGCTCGTGTGTTCATCAAGGCACTGGTTTCGGCAACCGGGGAAGCATCCCTAGGTCTTTAAAGTCTTCGTTCGGACTAAGGTACAGCTTTGGTCTGGGATACGGACTGAGCATGACAGCAAATGCTGCCCTCACCGCGGCCGTGACCAACCACCAGCACAGGACCGATAGGCTTCTCGGGTTTGCCAGCGCCGTAGCCTGCTCTTCGGGCATTCCCAGGAAAGCTGCGAGGGGTAAGGGTGGAGATACCCTTCAGCCTTGCATAAATCGGCCAGCAAATCCTGTCCAACAAGGCCTCTACAAAACAACGCTCATGTGCAAGACTAAGTGCCTTCAAGGCCTGGTCATGGGCGCAATTTTTTACACTCCAAGTGCAAAGCAGCCCCAGTCACACAAGCTGTCCACATCGGCTTCCGCGGCGGAAGGAGACTCACGCCCTTTGGGCTCGTGTGCTGCGGCCTATACGTGGCTTGGTCTTCGTTGAGCAAAGTTATCTGCATGGTGGAGCTCCCACATGGATGCGAAGCCGTGAAGCCTGAAATCCAGCCCAGGCCGCCTATGGCGTGCCGGCCTTGGTGCACGGGCGCGGTGGGATCATCACGACCGCAACCCTGCCCCGGAGGTACGACTCACACACTTCCTGTTGCGTCGCCAGGCCAGGATGGCATCTTGAGTTGGAGGGTTGACAAGGACCTTCCCAGTAGGCAGCTTCGGTCGATCCAAGAAGTGAGTGGGCCCACGTGGTACTCGCACGGTACTCGCGGCCGACCCACTGGTCACTGGTCCAACGAAAACCATTTTGAAAACGTCCGAGAAAGCCACGCTCACGTCAGTCTCCTCGGTATTGCCTTTTGGTATGTGGGGAGGACACCAAGACTCCTTGAATCGCATGATGAGCTGCAACCTTGCTAGGGAGAAGAGAGCTACAAGAACCGCTTCGATGTGCTGCAGCTGAAGCCTGCCACTTAGAAAACAGCAGCATAGACACCTACATGGCAAGTTAGTGTTACTCCTTGGGAGCTCAGAAGCGCTTCGAGCCGTAGACGGGCCAATATCCTGAGCCGCCACCAGGTCAGACATGATGGGGATCAGCAGCAAGTTGGCCATTGTGATGGGTGTCAGCTTCTCGCAGGTGAGCTCGGGACACTGTAACGGGCTACCGACTTAGGAACGCTTCATCGGGGGCTCGAGACAATCGTCAAGTTCATAATTCCGGGCTTGTGCTCTCGGACTTACATGTGTGGCCGAGCCTGCACCGTTTCCAACTGAGCTTAGGGGCTAGTATCAGAATGATACAGTATGAGTAACCAAGATGTATTTAGGCACGGAAGAAGACGGATTTTTCTTCGGAGAAACATCTGCCAGGCTTTGTACGCCCTGCCGCTTGCGGTCGCCATGTCACCGGCACCTACGAAAGCACGACCGGCACTTCGGGCGGCTGGTTGGGCAGGCGCGTCGCAGGGCGTAGGGCCGCTCCGAGCGTCGTCCGAGAGCGGTCTCGGTGGCCTTCGGTGCGCAGCTGCCCTTTGCGTCCTTGGGAAATGAGAGAGGCATCGGCTAAAGCCGTCTAAGGGAACGCCTAGGAATTCGTGTGCACCGACAGACGATGTGGTAACACGAGCGGTAGACTCAGATGATCTCAAACTGTCACGGTTGGAAGTTCGTTCTCCGCGGCGCCGGGCACACGATTTGCGAGAGCCCTCGACTCTTCATTGGAAGGTTCAGGCCTAGAGGTTCCGAAACTGCATGGGGCTTGCTATGAGGTCCCGTAAAATTCAGGCTCAGGTCGCCTTACTTGATAAGATTTACTCCCCAATTTTTGTTTCATAGAGGCCTTTGGTCCTTCCGCAAGGTGTCGGCCTGGCAGCCCTGGGCTTGGCCATCGAGGCGTCGTTTCGGAGGGCGCCGGGCAGGGGTCCGGGTTCGGACTCCCAAGCCCTGGCCCTAGCCAAGCAAGGCAATCCGAGTGTGATTCGGAGAGGCTTGGGCAGATGAGCACAAGCTCGAAGCCAAGAGAAGAGCTCCGAATCTTGGAGCAACTTCAGAGGGATCAGCGGCATGGGCGGTAGTGCTTCCACAGGGTGTGAGCTTGACTGGCGCTTGAGGATCGGTCTGGTCTTTGCCTTGAGTTCTTTATTTTAGTTTCTGGAGTTTGGGGAGGTATTTTGATGATGTTGGACCAGAAAGCCCAAGGCATGTTGCAGGTTGTGGCCTATGGCAGAATCCGACGTCACAAGCTGGCTCTGAAAAAGCATGTCGTTTGCCCAGTCTATTCCACTACGCTGCATCCTCGTGTTCTCTCCATGCTGCCGACATCGGGGTAAAAGTGAAATAGTTCCTGAAGTGGCTATTTTGCCAAACCTCCAAGCTCGCCCACAACACTAAATCTCCCACTCTGAACTCTTAGCTTTGTACACTCCGCCCCAAGACAGGAAGCTTCCGGTCATGGACGGCCTGTACAGCGCCTCGCTGGCCAACACAGTATCAGTGCTTGAGCCAGGGGGTTCCTTTCCGAGGATTCAGGGTTTGTGTTTGGGCATTAAAGGCCTGTCAAGTTGCTGGAATGCAGATGACAAGAGAGATCCATGCACAGAGAGAGAGATAGATAGATAGATAGATAGATAGATAGATAGAGGCACTGTGAAAATGAATAAGGCATGGCAGGGAGAGAGCGATGCAAGGTGCTGTTCATTGTTGTTGCAAGAATCTCCTGCTCAGTTCCGGGCAACTGCGGTTGACAGAATCACTGGGGCCTTCAGGGCACCCCCACAAACACTAACACACGCACACACACACACACTCCCTCTCTCTCGCTCTCTCTCTCTCTCTCTCTCTCTCTCTCTGTGTTGGTTTGCACTGCCCAATGCGACGCGGCAATATTCTCCGCTCGCCAGTGTTTTTGCATGTCGGTTTAAAATGCACACAGCACTGAGCATGGCAATCTTCCGTGTACAAAGTGGCAGATCTCTAGACGAGATAGGAGCATCATTACCCCCGAGGCTCACCCTTGGCCTTGAGAATCGTTTCAACACTCGGTTTAGGGTTTGTCGCTTGATTGCGGCCAAGGTTACTGCAGGCGGGCTGGGGGCTGCGAGCAGGTAGAGTCTTTTGGGCAAACGACGGTTCCTGTCTCGTGTGGTAGGCATCCGAATTATCTCGGCGAGTTAATCTTTCATTGTGGGATTTCGCCCCTCAGCTGAAATTGACAGCCTCGAAATGTCGATTTTGCTTGTAGTCAACACCTGGACAACCAATTGAGGTGCATGGGTCTGTGTGGGACTCCCATTCAGGTTGCAGCCTGCGCTGAGACCTCAGGGATAGTCAGAGATCCTCTAGCCCTGTTGACCTACAGCCTTTATTGCAAAGATTAAGCAGGTCTTCCCAACCTTCTTCATGGCCTTCACGCTTCACAACTCGGCTGCACGTTCTGACAAGGCTCGAGATGAAGCAGAGATTTCGGTTCTTCTTGCGACGTGTCCACCACGCATGTCAGGAGGCCGACCACCGGTACAAGAACTGCGATGGCTATGCACAGTGGGTGGAGAGCACCCCGATCTTGTTTCCAGGAGCTTGCGTCACCACATGGTGTCCCAATGCGCCCGAGAAACGAGTTGTTGCAACCTGCAGGAGCCAAGCGCGATGCTGTGAAGCTTACATCTTAAGACCAAGAGGCTTACATCATCCGTCGGCACCAACATTCGGCAGGCCCAGCGTCCCAGACGGCTTCTTCGGCTTTGGGCATTAGGGGCTGTGATGCCATAGACTAGTCCGGCCTAAGGCCTACAGGCCTTGCTGCCGGGCCAAGGGTGGAACCGGGGCACCATTCCTGAGCCTGTCCGAGGTCTCTCCCGCGAGCAGAGGCGACTCGGTGGCCGCTGTCCCGACGATGGTCGACATGGAGACTGAACTCGGTGATGGAAAGGGGAAAGGATGCTAGAAGTGAGGTTTCATACAGGCTTGGGAATGAGTGTTCTGGGGCGCAACCTAGCAGATCGGCAGGCGCATGGGTTTAAGCTTTGGCATCGTTTTCCCGACTCCTTCCCGAGTAGAAATATGGCCGACGAGGAGAAGGAGGAGCTTAAGAGGCAGACCCTGTGGGCTGCATCGGATGGATTGCCTTGCAGGGCTTTTCCTCACCATAGGCCTTCAGCGTTCAGATTCGTCCGGTTTAAAGTTTAGGAATCAAAGATATCAACGCCGGGTAGTGTTGGTCATGGTCGTTTCTACTACCACCGCTCCTACTATTGTTCCTTGCGCTATGTCATTCTTGATTTTAGTAGTACTACGAGGATGGCGACATTCGAGCATGTAGCTGCGGGGCATTATGTTCCAAGGTTCTTCCCTGGAGAATTCTTAGCCAATTTCTTAAGCTAGACCCCAATGTTGTTCAGTGCTCGGTTCTGGTTGACGATTTTCACAGGAATAGTAATTGCAGCTCATGGTGCCTCGCTCCGCTCCGGTTTACACCATCCTATGTGTTGGGTGGATTGTAAGCTCTTAGAGGCCCTGCAGCATGAGACGGAGCCGCGCCGGCACCGCGAGTAAAAAGGAACGATTTACGGCTGTTGAGGTCTTGCAATGAGTGAGACAGACAGAGAGAGAGAGCGAGAGAGAGAGAGAGAGAGAGAGAGAGAGAGAGTAGCCATTTTGGCTCAAGCAATGGCTCACAGCAGTGTGTTGCGACAAGTGGAGGCTCGATCCGCGGTTGGATCCGTAGGTTCTATTGATGGCGCTCGTGCGCACAGGTTTCGGGCCAGACCGCACAGCCACAAGGAGAGCTGGTGGCGTCACCGGCGCAGTGGATCGAGCTCTACCATTCCCCCATCATACGGCGGTAGACCACTTGACGCTGCAGCATGGGCGAGTCACGATTTTCACAGGTGCCTTGCCGCAAGACGCGGCAGCGTTCACCGATTTGAACGAGACAGGTGTGTTCACTCTTAGAGTCGACCACGCTGCCACGCCCGGTGGAGCATGGGCTGCTCCCCTGCACACTACGGACGCCTTTCTTGGGGCCCACAACTCTCTAGATCCGACTGTGCATGGGCAGGGAGCTGTGGCGGCAAACTACTTGGTGCTGGAGTACGACAGCGTTCTCGACGTCCTGGGAAATCCGGCTTGGACTCCGAGTGCTGCTGCCCAAGCCCAGCTGTTGGCTGCAGGGTGGACTGGAATTGCGGCGCCAGTCAACATCTGCGCGCCGGCTCGAAATGCTGCCGGACGTGTGACGATAGGATCTCACAAGACCGTGGTGGTGACAAACCTCCACATGATTCGGAGCTTGAGAGAGGCATACTCGGCATACGTGGCAGCTGTTACCGCTGGTGCTCAGCATGCCATGATCGATGGCGTCACGGTGGCAGTGAGAGGTGTTGGTGCGGCTGTTCCAGCCAACCTGGGCCACGAGCTCGCTCCTTGGCCGGCAGCAGCCCCGGGCACGCTGGGAGCTGCATTCGATCAAGCCATGGTTGTCTTCTTTGCTGGAGCTGAGATCACGGTCGTGGCACTCTTTGATGCCGGAGCACCGACGCATATTGCACAGGCAGCTGCCGTCAACGTGCGCTCAACCGCAGGAGCAGTGGCACCCACGCAGAATGTGGGCACTGGGCAAGGAATTGGATGGTTCATCGCATCCGAGTGGACCGACAACAACGGGGTCGATGGCCTGGATATCGATGCGTTGTGGCGCTCGGTCACAGTGACTGAGTTTCAGCTCGCCACTGCTGGTGAGCGCCCAGTGGCTCCCGCAGCAGGAGCGGCAGCGGCAGTGGATCCCTTCGAGATGGCTGTAGACAGCATTCTTGGACAGTTCGCGTATGGCACCGGCCATGATGCCACTGCTGAGCTCTGGGTGTATGAACACCCCGCAGTGGCCGCCCCCTTCGTTCAGCCGCCGAACTCTGGGAACATAGCCATTGCCACCGCAGGCTTGGTGCCGGGTAGGTCATGGCAGCGAGTCGAGCAAGGACTCCAAGACATCCGGCGCATGGCACAAGAGTATGGTGACTCACAGCACAGACGAATGGCAGCCACAGCCGAAGCAGCCATAGTCGACCTCCTCATAGATACCCCAACAGCACAGCAGCTTGAGGCCGAGGGGACACCTCACACACTGCCAACAACACACCAACAAACACACCTCCAGCCAGGGGGGAGCAGCACATCTGCACTGCCCAGTACTACCGCTGCAGCCCTACAAGCAAGCACGCAACTTCGTAACATCGCAGGGGAACTCCTACGTAGAAGGGAACCAGTGGTCATTCCCTATGCCATGGTAGCGCCTCATGTGGAAGCCCTGATCTGCTGGTTCGGAACCTTGGAACAGGGGGATGTTGGAGTGCATATTCAGCTGCCTCCGATCCTCACGCCCCTGCGAGAAATCCTGTATGACATTCTGGAGGGCAGACCAGGGGGACCAGAACTGTGGGCCAAACTGGTGGCTGTGGCGGAAGCCCTTGAAGCCTTGCTCATGGGGAACACCTTGGCCCATCCCGCCGACGTGGTCATGCTCAGCGAGGGGGGGACCAACAGCACTTTACTGCGCGAAGCTGTCACCCCGGACTGGTACAGAGCAGTGGAAACCTTGCGAGGGCTGCTACGCGATGTGAAGAAGTGGCCGCCACGAGTCTTGCCAACCGTCCAAGAAGCTGCTATGAACTTGGTGCGGGGGATCGCAGCTCAAACCCCAGAGGAGACCATGGCAGGCAGAGAGGGGTGGCAACCTGAAGAGTGGTGGTACCAAGAAAGACACCATGGGATGGGGGACAACGCGAGGGCTTCCTCATCGCCCCGCGGACCACCCCAGCGAAGGCCTCGAAGCCCCAGCAATGGGGACAGCTCTGATCGTAGCCACCGCAGAAGGCGAATGCTGGCGGAACGAAGGACTTTGAGCTGGAGCCGCAATGGGGGGAACGAGGCCCTCTGAGATCGCACAACGAGAACCACTGAGTCTCCTGAGAGCCGAAGCTGTATACTTTAAAGCCAGGGGGACATGGGGGGACATGCGATGTTTGTGGTGTTTGCTGTTGCCGTTGACTCAGGGAGTTTGCGCTTGTGTTGCGCTACTCGCCTAGTTATACCGATCTTGAGAATCGTGGCCCCCAAATCGGAGCCCTGGCCTGGACCTCAGAGAGTTGTCCTTTCCGCACATGTCCTGTTGCGTCAGCCGTGGAGCAGAGGGAATTTGCCTACATAGGGATGCCCTGTTGGGCTCGTAGTACCTGCTGTGTCTTTGCTTTTATTCCAATTATTCCAAACCCCTGAAGACTGACAGCAAGGGGACACCTGAAAACCTCCTGGTGTGCTTCTTGACAGGGTCATTTCAGGTCTTCAGGCTTGTTGAGGCAGTGTCGTGAGGTGATATCGGTTTGAAAGTTAAGCCATGAAGTCACGCGGGGGATACAGTAGTACCACCTTGCCAGCATCCCCGGCCTGTGCCCCAGAGTGTGTTACAATTTGTTGGTAGTCGCTATCGTTTTTGTTTCCAGCAGGGGCTCGGACCAAAGGGGACATTTCAACTGCAAGCCCCCAGGCCTCTCAGGTGGATTGCCGAAGGCTTAGGGGACACAGAAACACTAGAGCAGGTTCCGCCCCCGTAAATACACTCATACCCTTATCGTGTAAGCCTTCTTGCCCTTGTTTTGCAGCTAGAGATCGGGGGACCTGTTCTTGAAACATACCATAGTTGTCGCATCTGTTGAACAGGGGGAACAAGGTGTTGCTGTTCGTACTTTCTGCAAAATCCCCTAACAGATGCAGCAATGAAATTCAGGCGTCCATGCATTGCTGTCAGTTCGAGTATCGGGGGAACCAACTCTTTCTCATTCAGGTTTTCAACAGGAAATTAATAAATAAACAAATAAACAAATAAAACTATCCGAAACTCGAACACACCTTTCACTCCCCTCGAAAACCTCACAATATGTGGGGGGCCAATAGGCCGGGGGGCCTGACCCGTCCCCTATGCCCTGGGGAAGAAGAAGAGAGAGACGGACAGCGCGAGAGAGAGAGACAGAGCGCAGGTGGTGGGGCGGGCCAAAGGCCTGAGGGTCGGCAACGCTGACCCCTAAGCCCTGCAGAAAGAAAGAAAGCGCAGGTGCCTTCCCTCTGATCCCCAAACGCCCAGCAAGCAAGCGAGTGTGAGAGAGAGAGGATGAGAGACAGAGATCGACTGCACGACACGTATAACCGTCCCTGCTACGTCGAGGCTTGAGTTTGGAAGACAAAGTCGGTGGCTCTGATGTGGACCCGGCTGGCCATTGTTTTGGTTTGCTCTTGCGCATTGGCCGCAGTATTCTTCGTCAGATGCGGCCGGCTGCTTACGAAATGTCAGCCGGGCTCAGCAATGTCCTGCACAGCCAGGCCGCGTTTTGCAAGAAGATCGGTGCAAAGCCTGCCGAGTGCGCCCATGATGGTGTCGGATGGCAGGAGCATCAGCATCAAAAACTTTTTTGGTGATGCCAAACTCCATGCTCCAATGAGTAGACCTTGAGTTTCTCCATGTCAGGTACAAAGAGTTTCTGGAACAGTGGCCCTTCAGTGATCAGGCACCAGGGTCGTCACATCACGGCATTTGCAAGTGTGGTCTGCCTGGCTCAATGGACATGGAGAAAACAGGCGAACAATCCCAGACCCCTGCAACGTCAGGCGCGATCTCTGGCGTGGCTTCAACCTCCAAGGAAGAGGAGGACACATCCAAAAACTGTTGCCTATTTCACGTGCACTCCCACTGGATCCTCCCCCGCAGCACCAATCCATGCGATGGATTGCTAGCCCATGCAAATCCAGGAGTAGCTGTGTTGTCAAGTGCTCGGCTGCCTAAAGGTTTGGGACTGACTCTTGGAGGTAGAGCCCTCAGCTACAAACGAGTTCCCAATACCTGTCTCGGATGTAACGAGGCCTGAACTCAGGTAAGATGAACAAAAGAAGTTAAATTTGATGTGTCCCACCGGGGCACAATGAAGCCTTTGCTGTTTGGCAGGTTTCGAAGCAACTGGAGTGGTCCGAGCCAAAGCCTCGGGCTACATCCTGGAAGTGCCTCAGCAGTAGGAAGGCAAAACGTAAAGACGAGCGTATAAGCACGCTCTTGCAGTTGCAGTACTATGGATCCTGATTCCTGCACCGGGAGCAAGACAGACATCCAAACCAGCCCCTGTCAAAGATCCCATGTCTTGAGTCTGTGCAATCAGGTGGCCAGAACAAGTTCAAGAAGCGGAATTTCCAGAAGAAGCGGAGCTTCCGCAAGCGGAAGCCTGGTTTTCGATGGGTACACTATGTTGCTTTACCTCTCAGACATCGTTGTGGCGTCCAGTTTCTTCATGTCGAGTATGTATGGCTAAGACTCAGGAACAATGATGACGAACCGAGATCCAACTTCGACAAGAGCCAATCTCGATCGAGGAGGCATCCGCTGGGAAACCAAACTTCCTGGGTCAATAGACATGATCATGCTAGTTGCCATGTCGCTCTCACGTCACTACCACGACGATGTGCAACAAAATCATCAGACGTGGCTCAGGCCGTCGATGCGCCTTCGCGTGCGTGATTACGATGGATGTCGCCGCTTCCGTTTTTGTTGCTATATAGCAGTTGTCATTGTCGTTGTTGTTGCTGGTGGTGCTGTCGCTGATGCAGCTGCTGCGCGTAATGTTGATGTTCTCATGGGCACGCTAGTGATGTTCACTGTCGTCATTGTCGTCGTCGTCGTCGTCGTTATCGTCGTCGTTGCTGTTGTTGCGCTGGTCCTTACATCGTCGTTGCTATTGTCATTGCTGTTGCTGTTACCGTTGCTGCCGCTGCTGCCGCCGCTGCCGCCGCCGCCGCTGCTGCTGCTGCTGCTGGTTTTGGTGGTTTTGGTGGCGGTGCCCTCATCATCCTGATTGCTCTCAGTTGCTGTTGCTGTCATGACCATTGTGTTTTTGTTTTCTGGGTAACACTTGGGAGCAGAACTGGTTGTACTGTTTCTATCCGCGCGAGCGGGACAGTGCCTGGCAAGCACAGACAAGTCCACTGAGTATAATCCCGATGTTCCACAGGTAGGCTAGTGGCTAGCCTGGCACAAGGTCAACCCCAACATCAGAATCCATCACCTCTTTCACTCCGACCCAGTCCGATACAGGCCGCAGCGGCCAAGCCCCGACTTTGATGAAAGCCGCTTCGAGGCACGATGTTGCACTAATGCGCGGCTCCTCGCGCAAGACATGCTTCCTCCAACAGTCGGCAGCATGTCTCTGATTGAGACACGGCGATCATCTAAGTCCTGGTTTTATAGCCGCCTGTCAACACGACCCCAAGTCCTGCGGAACAGGGTGGAACCTTGCACCCTTGAATTGAGCTGTCATCAGGCAGATCGATCAGACCTCTTCTCTCGAGCTGAGCTTTGATCGCGTCGGCGCCGTAGCATGGCAAGGCTCTTCGCTCCTGCCTCGCCAACAGCATCAAGTAGCCTATAGGGGCACATAGCATTCAAAGACCGTGAGCACAAGCCGCCCCTGCATGAGATTGCTGCACATTACAGCTGGAGGCAAGCACTGGCCAGCAGCTCAGGAGGCTTAGACCCGCATGCGATACTAAAGGCGAGTAAGATAATGCAGAACCTTCATCTTGTGGCTGTTACCAAAGACATGTTCTGCGGGTGCTGCTTCGGACTAGTTATGCAACATTTGTCAATAATGACAATGTCGCCAAAACCAGAACGTCTTGAAGCGGCAACCGCACATGACTCAAGTCCTGCGGCCTGACGTTCCGAAAAGAGCTCAACAAGCACCCGCAGCCGGCTTTCGACGGCCACCACCAGCATTTCAGTTTGCAATGTTACTCTTTGCGAGAGCATCGGCAAGACTTCGCACGCGTTGGCTGTACTTTATTTGAGTGTTCAGGTTTTGAGGGGTCCCTTTGCGCCATTTTACTGCATGCTGGCTGAAGGCATGTCGGTAGGGTTGTGTTTCGGTGCCGATTTAATCGTAGTTCAACGCCGTTCATAAACCCTGCCACACAACTGGTGACATGTAATCAGAAATCACTCGGAAACGTCAGAGCACTCCAAATCTCAGACGCCATCATAAGCCTCCCGATTCAATCTGGGACAGCATGCAGTAGGAGTCTTTTTCTGATTCCCACCAGGCAACAAGCCTTGGTAGAGATTCAGACTATTTCGGAAGATTTCAGTTGTCTCGAGTGTGAGATTTTTCGAGACCGTGGCAGGCTAGCACAAGCATCCTCAAAATCCCAAACAGCTCGTGCAATGAAAGGGAGGACAGTTTGAGCCCCGCGAGGTACCGCGAAGTGCGGATTCGCCTCCTCCACGCACTGATGCAGAGCGACTTCAACGGCAGGTACCACCGTTGCTTGTTCACCAGGGTAGCAATGACAGATAGATATGGATCAGGATCTCGGGATCCGTACGAGTGGATATGGTAGAACCTAGAACAAAACGTGCGACATATCCTTGCGGACGAGGCAGTACGACGCGGTTTTTTGCGAGAAGGCTCGCGACATGGATGCTTTCAGGAAGTCGTGTGCAATATGAGACAGAAAGGATGTGGAAGTTTTAACCCAGGCCCTTGCAATGATTGCAGATCAGCCCGGCTCTGAGTCTTCGACATTTGACATGAAGGCCACTGTAGCAGCAGTTCCAGAAGTTTGCGTGCCTTCATAGGCGAAGACTCTGCTACCAGATGCGGGTCCTTTGCAGGCAACATGGGTTTTCCTCGCATCTGTCGAACTTTCTTCACACTGGTGCACTGGCCATTTCTCAGGAGACACGTAAGCGGTTGCGAAAACCAAAGCCCAATATGCCGAAACACACGGCCCTTCGATCCCTCGGCATTCCCTCCCATGAATCCCAAGACCTGTCTACAGGACGGTGCAAGCTGCGGCCGGGGGCAACGTGGGCAGAAACTCTGCCCAGCTCTCAATGACTTGAGATGTCAATATGTGCATCTAGTTATGACCTACGCCTGCCCGCACACGATCAGCCAAAACTCTCGTGGTGCTTTCGCTTTTCTGCATGTCGGTGTTGCACTCGCGGTTCTTCATATTGCTGCGACACGCAGATAGAAGGAGGGGCGGCTTATGGATTGAAACCTTGGCTTGGCCTAGCCTGGATCGCTGCTCACGGCTGGGTGATGAGGTTTGAGAAGCAGTGCGCAGATGGTTTGAGATTTCAGATAGATTGTAGGATCCTCCCTCAACATGCCGCACCTTTTGCAGCCCTGTCTGCACACCTGGCTTCACTTGTGTTTAGCTGTGAGTGATTGGGCTGCAAGGCTCTGCGTCAGCAGCTCACCCTGCTCAATCAGAGGCTGGTTCCGCATTGTCTGAGATCCTGAAGTATGCTGCCGTTTATGGCATTGCTGATCAAGTAATTTGACTCGCGGTCTTTGGAATCCAGCGGCTCCTGCACGATGCTACTGAGCCTCAAACCCTCGCCCAGACTGCCACGATTGCCCATTCAAACTGCCTGAACAGGAGGGTGCGCCGTGAAGCAGATCAGGCGAGCCCGTAGACTTCTGCTTTGACAGGGATGGACTTGTGAGCTTTGCGCCAGGCTCCCATGCAGGATCCAGAGCACGGTACCCAGGGCCGGCGGCTGCGCCCCTCCGCCGTGGTCTTATGCAACCTTCCGAATAGGAGGCTTCGAAGCTTGGAGACTAGGAAGCTGGGCGTGCGGGAGTGGAGAAGTTTGGGTTTAGAAAGACGATGCCGCTTAGGCCAGCTTGGATGTCCTGACCGCTCCGACGGAGGAGATTCCCAGCGACTCTACTCGACGGGACAGGCCAGTCGATGTGCAAGATGCAGGTCCTATGGTCATTATGGTCCTACGAATTCCTACGACATAACTGGGACACAAACAATGCCCCAGGATCTTCATTTCAACACATCAGGATTAGGGATGTCCCCTTGAAGACGAGTTCTTGCATCCCTGCAGCATTCACCGAATCCACGTCTTGCACAGCGGGTTCTGCTCATGAGCAGCTGGATCAGCTCGATCCGGTCCGTGTCAGCTACGCCAATGTCCCTCCGCGGCCCTATAGGCCCTATAGATCCGGAAGCCCTCACCATTCTGATACCCTAAACCCTAAAAAAAAAAGATAGCATCTCATGGAAGGAGCCCTCAGCTCAGCAGGGTCCAAGAGGAAAGCTCGCGGGAACTCGATCGGAGCCGCACACGCTCCGAGTCCCTCGAGGATGAGGCGCTTCCCTCTGGCTGCTGTTTCGGGTTAGGGTTTAGGGTTTAAAAATTTCGGGGGCCCCATGAGGTGCTACAGTAGCGGTGTGAGGGTTTAGGGGTTGGGGGTGTAAGCAGTGTAGGTGCTTAGAGGTTTAAGGGGAGATGGTTTGATGTTTGGGGATTTCGCCGGCTGCTTTGGTTTAAGAAGGTCTGGAGTTCTGCATGTTCAGTTACATCGAATTGGGAAGGCGCAGCATTGGCAATTAGTGTCCAAGCTTAAAGATGGGGTTTGTCTTGTTTACCTTCGGATGTTGCACCGGTAGCATGCAGTGCTTCATCGATCGTGGAGTCCCGATGTCTTCCGGGCGTCCTTTCAACCGTGAGCTTGGTTTACAGTCTGCAGGGCCCTGTCTTTCATTGGCAGCCGAGCCCTTTGCTTTTCGACAGAGCTTGACTTGTTGATGAACCCTAGATCACGAACCATACCCAGCAACAGGCCTCGAAGTCACCGAAGGCATCCGCGACGGATTGGGAGTTGGCTCGGCTTGCCCGTTAGCATGAAACTCTACACCAGAAACCTGCCGATCTGCGGACCAAGCCCAGTGTCGAAACTCCAACGTAAGGAAAGCCACGGAGCGAATTCCTTGTGTCAGGATATGGTTAGACCCAAGAAGAGCCGGCCAGGAGCTCAGTGGTTTAGAGGGGGGTGCATGCATCCCAGCATGTAACCCCAGGAAATCAGTGAGAGATTTCCGTGGCAGGCCACAGACAACAAGAGTGGCTTATTCCCCAACCCTCTAGTCTCTGTAGAGCCTCCAGACATTGTGTCATTTCCATGTGGCTGCAGGGTCCTGTTTGCACCGGACGTGGGCGAGTGCGACGACACCCAGACCCAAGGGTCAGGATCCCCGTCCTCGTTTCCCAGAGCACCCTGTCCGCAAGCAGCCGCCCATGACAAGGGTGTGCTTCATTCAGGTACTTGGCGTTTTCTGGAGGGCCTGCTTTGAAGTCTACAAAGTTCCCTGAGCCCGTAGCATAGAGTTTCAGGTCCAATGCTTGTGGCTCAGAGTCGCGCGAACGTATGAGGAGCGTTCCGCTTCTGCCGTGAGCCTCTGCAGGCCCGCCAGGAAGGGTTTTTGTAGGGATGGGAAAGTATCTTCATTAAAGGCGGTGGTCGTATTTGGTAAAGATTTCGGAACTTGGCCGGGCTGCAGCTGCATAGAGGGCGGACTAGTTCTACGGGTATTTGGAGAGAGATCTTCAGGGCGAAGGGCAGAAGGAGACCTAGCAAAACTTGAAAATCATGGTGCCGAATTTTCCCGGAACTCCACATCCAGCTCACTGGCGCACCAGAACCGAGACCCAAATACACCGGACTCCGGCGGACAAGTATTAAACACATGTGTGCATGAGTGTATGTATGTGTGTGCATATACACACACACACATATATATATATGTAGAGGGATATAGAAATGTATAGTGAGACCGAGAAGCATCGAGAGAGACACAGAGATGCTCTTTTATCACGGGTCAACAAATAGGTAGATAGATAGATAGATAGGTAGATGCGGATAACTTGGATTTGGACACAAGTTAGGTAAACCAATGAAGTCCAGTCTCCGGCTTTGGCAGGCTGCCCTCGCAGGAAGGTCGACTGGAGTCGGAGGAGTTGGTCCCGACGTCCAGGCGCGTTGATAGTCTCGGCAGGAAAGGCGAGTACGCCTTCAGGTCACCGCAGTTAGTTTCCGGTCTCAGGCTTGTAGTTTCGAAGGTGTTGCTTGCCTTTTGACTGTGAAAGTCGATGCGCATGCGCTCTTCGTGAACACCTAGACTAGCAGAGCCCAAGTTGAGAGCCATGCCGTGTTGCAAGAAACAGCTATTGCACTTGATTGTGTTCCGCCAAGCCCTAAGCCACGAGACCGCGATTGAAGCTTGTACTCCTACCTGATGCCCTGAACCAGAAGCTTTGCAACTTCCCGGGCATGGCAGGTGCCCCTGCTTTGCATGCTGCTTTCGGCAGAATCAGAAGCCCAAACAGGACATCATTCGTGAGGTGGGCCAGCTCCGAAATGCGACATCCGATGTTTGAAAGGCGTTTGCAGTGTGATCGTGATGGGGGAAAGGTCGAGCAGGCATCGTGACCAAAAAAATTCGTTCGGCAGTGCAGGCTGTGCTGTAATTTAGCATCATTTTCTTGGAACCAGTGATCGAAATCTACTTATCACTGCAGTAGCTCAACAACCAGCCTACTTTCACATCAGAAGCCCTCGAAAGCGCAAAGTCGCAGGAGTGGAGATACGATCCAAGCTTGCAGCAGTTTGGAAACCAGGACGGGTGGGATGGTGTTGCTTGTGCTGTCGCTTCAAAACGAGCCAGTCTTGGAGCGCTTTGCGCGGGCCTGGTCAGCTCCCTCAGATGGCCAAAGCCAATGTATCTATGTGAACAAGTTCCAGCATTTTGTTTAGCATGGACTGGAGGCTGCAGCCTGAAGCCGTGCTTGAAGTATGATGCTGCATTGTGAAGACACTTCATTTCGAAAGACTGACATCTCTCCACGCTCAGAAGAGTACGAATGCAGTGGCACACCCTGGCTTCATGTATCAGGAGCGCGAGACCTAAGAAGCGCAGAGCCTTGTCGTGTGCGAAACCGTGGCAGAAAACCCGAAACCACGGAATCGCTGAACCCTCAGAACCCTGCACGACCCTTGTCCAAACCCTAAACTCCTTAAACTCGAAACGCTAGCAATGAAACCTGAGCCAACCCTGAACTCCTAGGACCTGACACTGCTGGATGTCAGCGGAGTGAAGCTGCCAGTAGACCCGACCCAGTCTCTCGGAGCGTTGGAGCCCAAGAGGTCGGCGCCTCGGGTGTTGTTTGTTCTTTTCGGCTTCAGGATCAGCCGAGGCTGCGCGTTTCGAAGTCACTCTGCTTCTGTCGTGGAGCCAAAAATCCGAGTGTAATTGCGAGTTCAAGTTCTCGCTTGGGTCCTTACTCGGAGCAACCTTTCCCACGGCAGCTCTTCTATGATGCATGCCCGAACCTCCGGAGCCTTGGAGCGCCAGCTCGCCTGGGGTTTGTCGGGTCAGCACCGGGCTTTGGCTTCATTGATGGCTGTTGCCGCAGAAACAGCAGCTGCCCACAGTACCCCGTATGGCCCTGACCCTTAGCATCCACATCAGGTGTTTCGTGGCGAACTCGGCTGTAGCCCCTGTGGCACACTCAGGAAGCTTTGTTAAGCTGGACTTGTGTTTCAACGGCCAAGCACTGCCCTTGCTTGAAGGTGGTGCTGGCATATCAGGCGACTGAAGCTGACGAAGGCCCTTCAATTCCGTGCGTTTCAACGGCTGTGAGTCTCGCACGAAACCGCAGGGGACAGCATGCAGACCGGCCACCGACTGTATGCCATGAAGAAGGGCGACGACCTGCGGCAGGCATGGATGACCCTGCGGCACCCGCAGAGTATCCCTCTCGGTCTTCCGAAGCAAGTAGCCGTCATTCTCAGCATGCCCGCGGAGTTGTGAAGACAAGATCACTTAAGCGCGAACTGTTGTAGAAGCTGTGTGTTCAAACAACGCCTCCGTTCAGGATGCCCTCGTCTTGCAGATCTTTCGCCTCATGGTGCCTCGCCGACAACCGCTGACACTTCATTGCATGACCTGAATCTCCTGATCTGAGAGGAGACAGCCTGGGCAGAGCACGGTCTCAGGGAAGTCTTGCCGGCATCCTTACGTCAGGGACACCGAGCTGCGTAGCCAAGAGCCTTCGCATCTGGAGTCTACTTTGCGCGGCAGGTCTCGCTCATGCCCTACGACGTACTGGCGCTATCTCCAAAGGACACGTTGACCGAATCCCCTCGGCTCCAGGCTGAAAAAAGCAACACATTCCAAAAAGCAGCCGGCAGGAGGGTTTCGCAGCTTTCGTGCCCAAAGCCAAGAACGTCTCACGCATCCTCGAGGTCGGCAGAAGGTTGAACGGGTTATTCTTGGTGTACCAGTGGGCACGACCTTATTACCACGCATGTGAGCATGCAAGTATGCATGTATGTATGTTTCTTTGCACGGTATGTACAGTATGCAGGCGATGCACATAGTATACACAAAGTATGTCGTGTAATGTAATGTGATGTCACGTGATGTGATGTGATGTGATGTGATGTAATTACACGTTTTAATGTGATCAATATTTCGTAGTGCTTGAATGTATGGTTGGTTGTTTGTTTGTTTATCTGCTATATGTGCTGTGCGTCTTTCATGTATTCTGTGTGCGGCATGTATGTATGCATGCCTGTATGTGTGTATGTATGTAGGATTATGTAGGTATGTATGTACGTATGTATGTATGTACGTATGTATGTATGACCGGGCATGCTTACTACCAGTAGGTATATGCAGTACATTATCATGGTGACGTTAATTATGCCAAGTGCTAGTCCTTGCTTGCTCGCAATTCGGGTGCTCGGACTGTGGGATCTTGGTGATGTTGGGCTTTCAGTGTCGAGACTGCCCTGGATTAGAAGCTCGCTTTCAAGGTGGGCTTAGGTGGTCAACGAAAGCTGGTGCACAGGAGTTCGATGGCGACATCACCGAGTTCATCAAGAAGCACTGTCCGGCAGCCTAAACAGCCATTGACCGTGCAAGTTGCCCCATCAAGAACTGGATGTGATTGTGACATTTGGGTTGCCTGACCCTGAGCCCGTACCTCGAATTTGGATCCTGGGGACTGCCGAGGTAGTGGTTCCACCTCCTCCGCTTATGACCGGCTGTGCGGCAGCACGGCAGGGCAGCTCGGTGACATAATCCCCTGTCGCTGCATCACTTTAGTCTCTAGAGCCATGTCGGGGTCTGGGGAAGGTACTGCGTGGCCACGTACCTGCTTGGAATCGGAGATCGACATCTCGACAACATCATGATGACGGAGGTTGGGCCCTTGCACTGGCAGTGAGAATCGCAACGTGTGTCAGGTATATTCTTGATACATGCAGCACGGACTTTGCTGTCGAGGTTAGTAGTTGCTGTAAACAGATTTTGCACCTCCTCTGCACTCTCCAGCCTTAAGGCATGGCTAGACGAAAGTTGGTGATGTGCTTCGGGCAATCCCCACATCAGGATGGTCACTTCTTCCACATTGACTTTGGCTTCGTCCTCGGCGAAGACCCCAAGCCCGGTGCTCCCTCTGTCAGGGCCAGGGCCCCGGCAAGTTACACAAATGCATGGCCCCTAAGAGTTACTAAGCTCCTACATGCTCACATGCCTGGTGACACAACTTCATCCGCTGTGCAAGTTCTGGTTATTGCCAAGTTATTGCTGGTGCTGTTGTCATTACTATCACTGCCTGTTGTTTGGATGTGCGTTATGCATGTCTATATATATATATACACACAGTCTATATACTCCTGCGACAAACACTACTCTTTGCGTGGTTAGGTTAGGGCAAGTCTTAGACTTGGCCATCCATGGCAGCCAAGCCCTATGCTAAGAGCTTGAACAGACAAGAACTACCACGCAATCAGTACTCGTCCGGGCCGATAGCCACAAGAAGCAGCCAGAAATCAGGCCGCAGCATCTGTTCTGCAGAAGGTTCTTGACATTCTGAGCCCTGCCGATGCTTCCACAACCAGGGTCGGCACCTCCCAAGATAAACTTCTTAAAGCCACATTTGAAGAGCTTGGGGAGTTCCATGACCACCGTTAAAAATCAGAGAATCACTGCAAGCCAAGGCTCACACCCGAAAGCCCTTTACCCTCCAACCGCGAGCCTGCAAGTTGTCCCAGACCCAAGGCTTCAGCCCCAAGCCCCAAGGCCTCGAGCCATAACTGCAGGTGCCTCGCGAGGTCCTCGAAGTCCTGAGGCCAAAGCTCAGCAGGGCTGAAGGGCTCATCTGTAGGCCGGAACTTATTCTTTCCCTCCTGCCTGCTTGGAGTATCCTGGAAGAGAGTTGCCGGGCTTTGCGATGACTTTCAAAGCCTGATCGCGCACCCAAACCCCCATCCAACGACCACGGAAGCGACACTCAGGGTTGGTTTGTGACAGCCAGGCTTCGTGGAGAGCCGGTAATCAGATTCATGTAGGGTTTGTTTAGAGGTGTCATGCCTTCGGGATTCTCCGGATTTCGGGTCTAGTGCTTGGGCTGGGTCTGCTTATTTTCCAATTACAGCCAGATGCACTTGTGCTGCAGGCTGTCCGGCAGATACGACCGATTTCGTGAACTTCTCCGGGAGGCCATGAGAGCAGAAAGAGGGTTTCTTGCCCAGTCAGAACGAATCGTGAGCTGCAGCACGATTGAGTGTGGATACGATGTTGGGGTACTGGTGCAACGGCTGCATCCGAGTCGAAGTGAAACGGGAGAGCCCGGCGGTATGGATCGGACTTCTGCAGGCCTTCACGCTCATTCGCCGGACCGCTCGTCTCTGGACGGCGCTTCTTTCATTGGCGGCGAGCGCTGGAGGGTCCGGGCAGCAGAGCCAACCTCACCCACTGGACAAGTGTAGCTGTAGCGAAGTGAAGGGCGGTGGCTAGGGCCAGACTGTCGTCTCACTTCGAGGTTTCTGGAGACATGCATGGTCTTGTCCGCGACCCCGAACCAATCAATGGCTCTGATGTCGGTACTGCACCCGTAGTTGCAGTGGAGGAATGGCGTCACAGTGTTGCGAGACCATGCGGAGCTCGCAATCCATATTGTCTCGGGCTGAGTCAAGTCTGAACGATTGCTTTTGCAGGAGGCAGGACCGGCTTGCATTGTTTGATTCGGACCGTTCCCTACCAATCCAGTGCCATCCGCCTTGGCTCATCTTGCGCAGCCGAGTGTTGTCTGGAAAGGTCAGAGAGCGACTGCACCTTGAGCTCGATGACGCATCAGCAGCTGCTGAGATTACAGCTGAGGCTTGTTCCCGATGGAGTGGAAAAGATCAGTCTAGCTGAAGTTTTTATGTCCTACCTCTGACGGCAGCAGCTGCCCAACTAGAATCCTCGCAGGACTAGTTCTGGCATCTGTTTCGACAGCCGTCGCGACGTCCAGGTCGAGCACAACGCGGCGGCCATGCTTCCCGTCATCTACGACAAGCTGCACCAGGTGCAACGGTTCGAAGACCGGGGCAGACCGCAGACTCCAACATGTTAAGGTTTCGGGATCCCGTCATTTGATGCATTGTCGCTATCCCTCAGTTCTTCAGTCGCACAGCGGTGTTTCTCAGCAACCTTTCAGGCAGGTTTGTTTTGGCACTGAAGAGCAGCGGTGTGGGATCGCCGGCTCCTTAGCAATGATTGCACGCCTGCCTTGGCAGAGCCATCATGTCATCCCAAAGCTGTGCACAAGGCGCTCCGAAGACGACGAAATACCTCAGCTCACCTTTGATGAGCTTTGCCGTTAACGAGCAATTTAGAGGCTCATCTGTGTCTTTCACAACACTTCGCTCGTTCTCGAGGATTGAATGCAGTGGCGCAGCCGGTTCAGACCTGGAGTAACAGGGTCGACGAGACTGATGGACACAGGAAAGATGCCTGTTAATGAGTGTGCCAGCTGGCACGTTGTGTGGATCTTTCAAGCGAAGCTTCACATCGATAGCTTTATACTTTATCGATTTGCTCTGCCAGAGGGGTGGATAAAAGAAGCGAAGGGCATGCATGCGTTGCTGCAGAAACGCTGTGCTAGCTAGCCTACCAGCATGTTGTTGCTTTGCCGTCTGGGGAGGATGGTTCAGCCCGTTGACAAATACACTTCCCAAGCACGAAACATAAGTGTTGTCTGCACGAGTGCTTCGGGTCGCAGTGGACCTGCCTGGGACCACACTGTAATAACGGTAATATGCGCGAAGGAAACACGTCAACTCCCAAGTATGTTGAGGGAGAGGCGAGGCGATAATTAGATGTTTGCAGAGTTTGCTGACATCCAATGCCACTCGTGCTTGTGCGCATTTCGAAGAGTGGCAATCGCGGAAAGCAGCACAAGGTGGCGCGAGATTCTGCCATGCACACGCATGATCTCTTGCCATGACCTGCCTTCAGTTGCACATTTGTCTTCTTGGCTCACAGATATTGCAGTATTACAGAAAGAGCACTCTACTCAGCCTGTTGACATCCATTGTACCCCGATCATGGCAGACCCACCGCTACGGCCGAGAAAGTCCGCGCACATCAAGCAAACCTCGCTCAGATGGCGGTGTCCGAGGAGGACGACCTTCCTCCTCCGCTTGAGGCCACCCGCAGGCGAACTCCAGCCGCCAACGCCGAGAAGGAGAAGTCTGATGGAGAGCCGGAGGACCTGCAAGAGAAGAACGAGGTGGCCGAAGCCTTGATGCAAAAGGCGATCGTTGGCAAACAAAAGAAAGCCGTAAACCTTCCATGAATGAATCGAAATCCCGAGGAACCGCCACCCTGATGCCAAGCAAAGAATGGTTCAACCCTGAAGGCACTGGCTGCCCGGGAGCAGAAGAAGAAGGACACCGAGGAGGCCCTCCAATGCTTAATCTGCCGTGACTTAGGAGCTTTACATGCTTTGCGGCCATCAACTCGAAAAAATCAACTCTTTCCGTGAGGCCCGGAAGAAGGTGGACCAGGGCTTTGGAGGGGGGCTCAAGAAGGGCTTCCTGGGCGGCACCAAGGTTCGACTCTCGGATCTTGGAGAGCACTTGCGACCAGAGGGTCACGAAGCGTCAAGATGTTCAGAGGTGGAAGCCTCGAAGATCAGTCAAAGGACGTCCTAGGTTCCATTTTCATTCAGAAGACACTGCCGAACCTTGTTCAATATTCGAGCAGACACTCATGGCAGGCTTTGGGGTGTTCAAGCATTCTCAAAATGCACAGACATACGCCTTCAACCCAAAAAGCTCCAATGTCTCGAAATCGGGTCCTTGGGAAAGCAGGGCTCCACTGTGGGGAAGCTCGTCGAGTCGAGTGCATGGGACGATGATCTGTGTTCTGTTAATTCTGGGTTGACAACGCTCGTGTGGAACGGTTGGCTTGGGATGTTGATAGTTCAATGGAATTGGGTCTGGTGCTTGCCGATTGAGGTTCTGGGAGCATGGGGCTATGATTTGAGAAGCGGGACTGGTGTCGTGGCCGCTGTCACTTCGAAAATGCTGCTTGTGTTCTAGATTAGATGTTGCTGCACATGTGGTCCCGCGAGTGCAGATTGTCGGCAGGCTAGGCTAGGGATGATTTACGGCCAGGCTCCAAAGAAGAATGTTGAAAAGACGGAGGCCATCCAGGCAAGATGTCGCATGGCCTGGTCACCTCGGGCTTGGGATTCGGAGGTTCGCTCATCACACTGAGAGCTACAACTGTAGAACAGAGCTTGCAGCAGCTCAGGGAACCAAGAGGGGGACTAGTCCGTCGAATCCCCAACCAACCACTGACACCGCCAGTAGCTGCAGAAGCTTGATCGCAGGAGGTCTCCACCAAGAGAGACAACAAGAAGAGCACCAGCGAGGATGCAGGGTACTGTCCCAAAGCTGCAGCAGGTGTACCAGCACTGGACTGCTTGTAGTGCCATCTCAAGATCCTTGCTACAGCCATATGACGGCTCTACTACGTACGATGGTCTCTTCTACTGCTGCTGCCGTGGCTTCTATGCTACGGTCAGGAAGCAGTCCCTCTATTGCTAGTGTTGTACGTACAGTTGTTCTCAGTACGACTACTGCAGGTATGACGACTGTGATAAGGGCTACCAGTTTGACTTACCACAGTTTTTTTGCATGAAACTCGACTTCCTTAAAACGTAGTTCCTTGAAGGGTTCCTCTTCTTTTACGCATCTAAGCGCCTGAAGATCCGGGCAGGAAGTGCCCTTCATCACGGGCGCGGGATCTGCCCAGGCAGGGAGCCCTCACCACTTCACACCACTTCCGCATCAATGACGTGTCATGTTGCACCATAGGAAAACATCTAGGGCATAGAAGCAGAAGTTAAAATTCTCGTAATGCGCTGCGGTGTCTTGGTCCAACATGATAGCGGTGCCGCACGTCGCGAGGAAGCCAAACGGATGAGCCTGCAAATGCCGGAGGCGCAGCACGCAGTTTCTGAGGCAAAGTGTCTTGCTTTGCCAAGCTTACCTCGTGGTCGCACAGACGCTGTGAGAGTCTCCAGAACAGAGATGTCCCGTATCTACAAGTTCAAGGTGAGGTCGCGAAGACGCAGAGACCTTTTGGAGGGTTTCATGGCTCAGGGTCTCCCGCCAAAGCCAGCCTGTGGGCTGCTGATCATTGATCCTGTGCACGGCAAAACACGGCACAAGACAATTTGCGCATGAAGTGGGCGGGGGGGGGGGGGCTTGAGCTTATTCGATAAATGGCCTTCTGGTCAGACACGGGCCATTCGAAAGTCGTCCGACCCAAAGCCCTGAATTGCCCCGAACACAAAATGGGCGAAGGAGACAGGCTTCAGGTTTATGATAAAGTGTAGACAGACGTGGTCGGAGCTCTAATCTTGGACAGACAGGTGGTCAAGAAGCATGCGGGGGACATTGAAATCAATAGAACACAGATAGAAATTGCCGCACATCACCTTTCAAAGGAGGCGGATTGCCTGCGGCCGCGTGATTTGCTTTGCTGGAGATGGTGCCATGATCTGCCCTGCCATCCATTCTGCCACTAGATTCTGGATTTTGCCTGACGAGAGCGGCGACGATTAATCCGAATCTGAAAGTTCAAGAAACTCTTCTGGACCGGGCCCTTCTGTCACTTGGGCAAGGAAACAGTGCTTCCATACCAGGCTGTGGGCCTTTACATCGATGGGGGGTGCCACATTGGCCCTAATATGATGTGGTCGATAGCTGACATTGCGAAGGCATTGCTATCATCTCAGATCGGCCATGCGACGGAAAAGTTTAGGGCGTTAGCATGCATTGATATGGTACTGAAACCAACCCAAGCCTTGAGAGGTGCAGCAGGCTGTGCAGGGCATGTCCCGGCTGAAGGAGGACCAGGCCTTTGGGGAGAGGAGGGATGGCACAGTCGACTCCGAGGTTGGAGAAAGCAATATGCAGCAATAAGTATTGTCGGGTTCGGGGCTTCCGGACGGCACCGGTGAGAAGGCTCCGGCCTCTCTTAGAGCTGCTCATATCAGTCATCACCTGCTATCACCACTGCGCGTTGGACGGAATCCCAAGACAAGCCTGATCTCGGCATGATTTGGGCTGGTGATTCTGTTGCACACATTGCAGTGTGTTGCTCCGGGACTGATCATCCTCTTGCCCCGGACAGTCCTGGATCACTCCGCAGCTCATGGCGGCCATGCAGTCCCGTCCAGACCTTCTGAAGGCACCGTCGGTCCCCTCCCGCTTTCAGGGCTGGTTGGAAACGTGTAACTGTTTTTGTCAGACATGTTGGCAGTCGGGCACTTTTCGCCGAGAGAGCTGGTGATTCAGGGACAACATTACACATGTCTGTGGAGACACTGACGCATTAAACATCTGACACAGCTGGCACGAAATCTTTGGAGGCGCTGTCGGATCCAAAGATCCAGCAGGCGGGCCCATGTATCGTTGAACGAGCGGGTCAGACACAGTACAGGGATTTCGTTACGAAGGGAGTGTTGTCTTCTTGGAAAACAGGCTAGTAAACTCGTAGTTGGAAGGGTGTTCTTTGTTTCTTCAGTGTCTGTTTGCGGGCTGCCTCGATGGAATCGCTCGTACGTGAGAGCATGGATGCACGATGCCAGTTCAGTTCCTAGGTGACCTCTCCATTCCGACAATTACTGAACATCGTACTTGCTGAAGTCAGACCTGAGAAGGACCATGTGCAGTGTCCACAACGTGTAGGGCTGCCGCATTGCACTGTGGCCTGTTTTGTGGCTCGGGCAGTCCAAACATTTTGTTCACCAGGTGTTCTAAACTGCAGCCATCGGCCTAATGAACGCAAAAGTCTTGGATCCGTCGGACATGCGCAGCTGTTGAGCTTTGAACAAGCCCTTTTCAAGGCGGTGGTTTGGGCTCTAAAGTTGTCAACGGGTTCTCGGAAGATCAGCCACTGTTGTGTCCCGAGTCCTAAGTCTAAACGTTCAACCATGTCCCGCGGGAAGAAACTGAGGCATGAAACCCGTCTGCCTCAGGCAATGGCCCTGATGCAGACTGCCCCCGATGAGGCAAAGCGGAGGCAGGTTTCGATCGGGGCTAGACCTAGCTGTGTTTTGAAGCGTGCACTAGAGGCGGCTGCTTTTTGCTCTCAGTGATGCACTCAAGAACAGTTCTCCTGATAATTCGCCTTGGCAGGTATGCCAATGACCCGGAAGTCACAAAGTTCATGCAGGTTTGAGGGTGCTCGTAGCAAGGCTTTTGCGAGGAGTCCACTATCGTGCACAGGACTTCAGCGGGCTTATGGCCACTCATTTCGACGTTCTGAGCAAGGAGGCCTCTCCCTGTG